TTTGCAAGTCCCGGGTAAATATTTTGAGTTCCACATGGAAGTCATCAGGTGCTCAATACTTAGATAATTTGGTCCAAACTACTAATCCTCCAAAAGCCATAAAAACTATCCAATTATAAAGACAAATACGATAACCCAATCTATCGATTGACGCTTCATCACTATCACGAACTTTTGGAAACAGAAGCGGCTAGTAAGAGAACTTACTGACACTTTGTAGATGATAATTTTAAAAAGTTAGGTTAAGAGACTTGGTAAACAATGGAACAATTGCAGGAAAATTTGGAAGCTTTAAACTGTGATAGTGATGAAGAATCATCTTCATCTGGCGAAGAAGCAGGTAAGAAACGAGCGGCGTTTGTAACTAAATTCGGCAGAACACAGAGTTGGTTTTTAGATGCTGCCCCCACATTCAGCGTGGCCATGTGGGACTTCAACCAATGCGACCCCCGAAAGTGCTCGGGTCGCAAGTTATCCCGCTTGAAGCTGATCAAAACCCTGAAAATCAAACAGCGGTTTCCTGGTCTAGTGCTGACGCCCACTGCGGAGAAGTGCGTAAGCCCTTCGGATCGGGACTTAGTGAGTGCCAAAGGGGTGGCAGTGGTGGACTGTTCGTGGGCAAAGATCGACGAAACGCCCCTTGCAGCCCTGAAGCCGGCCCATGGCAGGCTGCTGCCCTTTCTCGTCGCTGCCAACCCGATAAACTACGGAAAACCCTTGCAGCTGAGCTGCGTTGAAGCAGTGGCCGCCACAATGTACATAACCGGGTTCAAGAAGGAAGCCCGGTTTTATTTGAACAAGTTCTCATGGGGGCATTCGTTTTTGGAGCTGAACGAGGAGCTGCTGGAGATTTATTCCCAGTGCACTGATAGCCAGAGCGTGGTGCAGGAGCAGACCAGGTACATTGAGAACGAGCAAAAGCTGCAGAAAGACCGACAAGGTAGGAGTTGACTTTGTTCCTTTAAGTACCAGTACATGGGCGCTTTTACAGCTTGCAGAGACTTCCCGCCCAGTTCCAGCAGCGAGTCGTCGTCAGACGACGAAGGCTGAATTGTACACGAAAACCACCAATAAAAAACAACCCATTTACTGTGTAAATATTCCAGTCTAGACAAATGCTCCTGATCACAGTTCTTTGCTGTTTGTTTTTGGCGGCAACGTCCTGACCTTTCCAACAAACTCGATGATGTCCTGGGCAAGCACTTCGGGCACCTCCAAAGCGGCGAAATGACCTCCCTCGGCATCGCTCAGATGGATCAAGTTGGGGTGCTGTTCCCTCAAAAGGACCTCCGAGGAGTAGAGCAACTCGTTGCTGAACCGGATGCACCCAGCGGGCACGTTAATCGGCAATCTGAAACCAAGAACTCATTATGTATCAATTATCAAGTATTTTTATACCTGCTTATCGCTAAAGCGCCATCGAAAAAGGCATTGATAAATTAAATTAAAAAGAATGACGGTTTAGACGAAGATAGCAACCCCTGACGGGTGGGATTCTCCGGTGGCCATTTTGAATTTGCCAGATTGTCAGTTTGAAGTACGGAAGTTTGGTGGAAAGCGCGCTCCTGCTTAAATTGAGTTTTCCTGTTGGAGGTCCACTCTGGTAAGCAAAAGTTGCGCTTTTTAATCAGGTTCAAGCTACATCACTATCAGAAGTAGGAAGTAAGTGGGGGACTCAGTTACTGCCTATGAAATCCTGCGCTCTTGACCTCTCATGACCCTGGACTACCTTGGGTGAAAAACGGTATTTTCTCGAAAATTCCACAGGAAGATAAGTGGCTTGTAAAGTGATTTTCGATAAGGCGAACAAATTATCAATCGCAAACGCGAGCTTGATTTCCCAGACAATTTCCTGGGACCCCACTGAGGCTTACTTGTCCAAGGGCAAACTCCTATAGGACTTGGAGTTGGCCTCAGCGTACAGGCGAGCGGACGTTGTGATCGATCTGGTCACCCAGTAGATCATGACATTATCCAACAGCTTGTCGTAGGTGTATTTTTGCGTCAACCCCCCATCGGGCAAGTCTTTCCACTGCGGATCCGTCCAGGTGATGAATTTTTCAATGATGTAGGCCGCCAGGCCCACGGGGCTCTCTCTAAGCGCCACGCCTACAATTCCAGTGCAAATACTCTCCTAAGAGAAGCGAAGATAGAGCTCACCAACTGTGTCGGGTTTGGTGGCCTGGATGTGTAAGTACCCGGATTCCAGCATGATGAAGTTGAAGGCATCAGACAAGGGGTAGATTTTGGCTGCTTCCTTTTCGCTGAAGAACAACGAGGGGAAGTACATGCCAACGTAGGCCTTCCAGTTGGTGATTTCATATGCAAAACAGAAGTTCCGGTGGAGTGCAATCACATTCTCTGGGTACAGAATGGCCATGTCGTGCGATACGGCGGAGCCCCAATCGCCTGCAAAAACCCAGCTTTAATTTCCCCGTCCTCTCAACTCAAGTGCCCCTGTCTACCTCCTTGTGCATAGAATCGGTCGAACTTGAGCCTCTTCATCAGCTTGTTGAAGAGCTGCGCGATTTGAGCCTGGTTCAGTCCAGGCCTGACGGCCGCGTCGGAGAATCCATAGCCAGGTAAAGAAGGCGCGATCACCTCAAACACGAAGTTCCTACCTGAAAAGCGCCTGAATTAAATTGAGGCATTTCTATGCGGGGCTTTGCACCTTTTTGTGGCGTAGTTAGAATGGGGATGATCTCGTAAAACTCCCTGACTGAGCCAGGCCAGCCATGAATCAGGAGCAAGGGCAAAACCTCCACTCCTTGCGGAACAGTCTTCGGCTTAGCGTGGATGAAATGAATGTTCAGGCCCTGGAAATTTCACGTTAACGCGCTTCTTGGCAGCGATGCCTAGTTTTACCTGGATTTTGGTCTGGAACTGCGGAAACTGATTGAGGAATTCCTGCTGCTTGTTCCAGTCGTATTTGGTTTTCCAATGGTCGACTATGTTGCCCAACAGCTCCCCATTGATGCCGTAGTTTTGGTTGACACCCTCCAGGGGAGGCTGCAAGGGCAGCGCCGTGTCCAAGCGTCTTTTCAAGTCGGCGATAACCTAGCAGGGCTCAGGTGTCTACCAAGCGGGCCTTAGTGGTCAGTCAACCACTTACCTCTTTGGGCACATTGATTTTAAAGGGCCGGACGGTGGGGTCTTCCTCTCTAGGAGGGCCTGTGGCCCACCATTTCTCCTCGATAACCGGCACCTCTAAGGGGGCCCTTTTCAGCTTGATGTACACGTAGGCAGCGCCGATTAGAATCAGCACCGCAGTTAATTTGCACTTGCAACCCATCGCTCTACACCAATATCAGTAAACTGAACAACTATTATCCAATCAAGCAGTTTATAATGTTGGCTTTATGCAATATCATTAACAAGCAAGAAACGCTAGTCATCAAGCCATCTCGTTCATATCAGGACAACAAGGTTTCAGCGGTTCAAGTAGTTAGTTACACGTGCCTATTTTTAGACGCATTGGATATCAAGGTGATTAATTTGGTCCGCGCAAACGGATGCATAGAACAAGGCTTAGGAACGGATGAGCGCGAGTTATGCTATAATTTTATTGAAATCGCCAATATAAAAATAATTACTATACAGTCAGGTTAAATAAACAAAAGCGACCCTAAGTAGGCGCAGCTTCCTCCAAATTTAGAGGCGCCATGAACCTCAATCGATACTGCAAGGGCGACCGCAACTTGCGGACTATGACCTCAATCTCCTTCCGCAAACTGTCCCCCACAAACATGTACTTGATGTGATAGAGAAAGTCGCAGATCGGATCGATGTGCTTCAGCTCGCTCTGGTTGGCATCCACTTGCGCCAGCAGCTCGTACAGGCTAGTGGTGAGCTGCATCACTGCAGTTATCCTGAAAACGAGCCCTTAAAGAAGAAGCCTTCAGCTATGCAACAGGCACCTTTGCAAGAAGGGCCCCACCAGGTGGCAAACGAAAAGGAACTGCTCTTCAGTGCGAACCACCGATGGGAGGCACTCAGCTACCCAAGCAGGAACGGTGGCGATTTGTCCAGGCCCCGCATGGTGCCAGATGGAGTGGGCCAGGCCCAGCATGTAGCTGAAGCGGTTCTCCAACAGCCCCAGGTGGGTTTCCTAAAACGAACAGTTAACTCATGGACGTGTGGATCTTTTAGGTTTAAACCTTGAAGTTGAAGATTCTGAAGGGCGAAATGTCGTATCTCCAGCTGTCCAGTTCCCCCAGAGTGGCCAGCAATCGGTCGTGGATCACGCTCCAGTAGCTGATTGGCAGCGCCGACATGATCAGGCCAATCGCATTGATCCAGCTGTGTATGTCCTTCGAGGGGATGATCACATATCCTGCAAAGAACAAAGCTGGAGGGTTTTTCTTCTATTCATTTTCGTTAAAACTGTTTGCCTTTGACGATGACATCCAGAAGTCCATTGCCTACTGATGTGGGTCCAGCAGCCAGCCCCATAAGTTCCACGCAAGTGATGTAGAGAATATGGGCGCCCGCGTTTGGAAACTCGTTGAAACGCCAATCGGTAGTGTAAATGGAATTCGGGTTGTTCAGCCGATCGACCACGCGCCTGCAAACGGAAGATACAGATACAGATAGTCTGGAAGCCCGAGAAAACCCACCTGGTCAGTTGCATGTAATAATCCAGTTCGGGAACCCACAGATCATCGGAATTGGTCTTGAGGTATTGCTGATAGGGCTCGGTGAAGCTGGTGAGAAGGCTGCTGAGCAGCGACGAAACCAGTCTGGAAAGAACCGTTGTTAGCTGAATGATGCGAGTGAAACTGACGAGGAAAATCGCTACCGGCGCTTCAAGTTGGGGCGATCTCGCAGCTTAGTTTCGTAGCAGTGGAAGGTGTTGTACATGTACGTTACTGGCCGATCGTGGAACTTGAACAGACAGCCCACATGGTCCAAAAGATTCTCCAAGCTTTTCTGCACGGGATATAGTTCTAGATATCTGGAATGTTAACAGTGTGAAAATTGCAGTGATGCCAGCAAAACACTTACCTGTGGACCACGATGTCCAAAACCGGCAGGAACCTGAGACACACATTGGAGAAGTAGGGGTTGATCACGCTGGACTGCTCCTCCGGAGCGAACTTTTCCGGGTATTTTCTGAGGAATTCCATGTGCTTCTCGTACCAGTTGGTGTGGTTCCAGTAGTCGGGCGAATTGTCTCGCACGAAGTCCGTGACTCGGCTGCGAAACTCGCCCGATTTCAGCACTATCAGCTGAATGACAAACAGGCAGACCTGCGGATGACTGAGTGTGAACCTTTGAGCTTTGCAAGCGACTGGTTACTGGGTACCTGTGCTTCGTTCCCTTCCATTGTGCGTAAAGCCAGACACAAAACGAGGCGATCAATCGTAATGATGTTGTACTTGAACATCATGTCGTTGATCGTTTCGATGCACTTGGTAACCACTTGACCGCCGGCCGAGCTGGCGAATTCATAGACCAGACAGTCGCACAATTTCCGCAAATGGGCCGACAACGCTCTGGAGCCGATTCGCTCCAGAATCCTGAAAACACCCGCCAAATCAACTCAGTCTCCACCCAAACAGAGACTCACTTGTAGACTATGGGGCTGATGTGGTTGGTTTCCATCAGCATTTTCCACACTAGACAGAGGAATAGTGGAGGCGCCCCTGGCACGCCAAAGTGCGCCATTATGTCGTTCTCGTTGTTCATTGAGGCCCACTTTCGGTTTTCCTCTGTAACAAGGCGTTTGAAAATTGCCGTTGTTCCTGTTGCGTTGGTCGCCGGTACCTTCAACGGCCTTTTTCAACTGTTGCTTATTATCCTGGGGCACGGAGTGCTGCGCGAAAAACTTCTGCAAAGGCCTGGGGAAGCACTCGATGCTATGAGGGGCCCATGAGTGGGGAGTGCTTTGCGCGATCGTCACTAGAAGGTCGTGGCACCAGGCCCCATCCGATCCCGTCACGTGAATGGCTCTGGCCAAGGTAAGCACGAGGAGGCGGTTCAATTCCTCAGATTCCTGCGAAACTATGCTCTTGGGGTCCTGGATAAAGCGGGATATCTCTGATTGGACGTCGCCGCTCCCCAAACCTGCAGACAGCGAGACTTAGCGAAGTCGCTTAACGGCGCAGAGAGGGAAAACTTGCCGGTTATCACGCGAAGAGCGGTGGATTCCACGCACAGATGAAGCTGGGTCTGATTAGATTGCGGCACCGCGGCTAGTGAGTGTAAATTGGTGAGAAGTTGCACCCTACAAAGGAACCACTTTGACTTCAATTCGATGAAAAATGGCGATTTTACCTGTATCGGGGATGAATATGGTGCAGCCTGTAGCTAAACATCTCCAGAAGGGTGTACAGTATGCCCCAAGCGTGATATTTGTACACTTGGGGCAGCAGTTGGGCAATAAAGGCCTTAATCCCTAGCGATTCAATTTCGGTGTAAACCAGCAGTCTGCTGTACGTTTCCACCAGGGCTGGAGCCAGTGGAATGCCTGATTTGCTGCTTGCCAATTTAATCACCTGCGTAACTGTGCTATGGATTAAGCTCATCTTTGAGTGGACAGTGAGCGAATCCAGCACGGTCATGCTTAGGGGACAAGTGGGCAGTGGACAATTAGGGGTACCGGCCTTCGGCCCTCCTTGAATGCTCTCCACTAAGGACATCATTGGCTTACTGTAAAGCAACAGAAAGAACAGTTTGTTTTTTGCAAAGTATTATTTGATGAATCGACAGACACCTATCGGGCGCACATTTTAAAAATATTTTTGTA